GACTTCTTTTACCCATCCTCTGTTCATCCCAGCCCCTGATACCAGAGAGGCTACTCCTCCCCGTTACCCCGCCTCTGTATGGTGCCGGTGGCTATGATGGTGGTGGTGACCGTCTGAGATGACATGCAGACATCCTGGCAGATAATCAATCAGCGCACACTATCTTAACATGAAGTCCACTGACCTGGACTCACTGGGGCTGATAATGGGGAAGAGCGGGGGCTGTAATCGGCCTGCCACTACAGTGTTTGGACAAGGGACTACGGGGAATTTTAGCATAGATTGCTGGTGTAACTATACTAGTCTAGTAATCGTGCACGAGCCCCCGATCTTGCCCAACTGCTCTTTCGAGATGCGTGATATAATTCTAGGCCTTGCCCTGACTAGTTTTTTCCTCTGCTTACGTACATTAACACCTTTGCACCTTCATTTCGTCCTCTTCCTTCATCCATCATTCTAGGTCCTTTGCTCTGCCCTGGCCTTTTTCATTCGCTATCCGGTCGCATGGACTTTCTACGAACAACCATGAGCAGTCTACCTCCCCCTTCCCACTCTTTGTCACCTTCATTTCCTATACCGTCTTGGGCTTTCTTCTCCTGCCTTCGTTTACCGTTTTCTGGTGATTTTGGGACCCCTGAGTTCAGCTGTGACAGCAGTCCGTCGGCACGGTGTCGACGGGCACGCACTAGAATAAAAACTCTTCCAGTGCATGCAATTTCGTTGTTTACTTTTTGGGAACAGTTGTTGGAGGGGACTGTGCAGTAGCGCCTTAGCTGGGGAGGGGGGGGCTGAAATCGTGTTGACATAATCAAGTACACTTGAAGCAATCAGTGTGCTCCCAATTCGTCCCTCGAGACTCTTCCATGCGATATCGCTTTCGTTATAGCCAGCTTGTTTCTGGCGCTGAGTCTTTTGAGCCAAGTTCTTTTCAAAAAAAATCTCCCGATTTCCTGAGCGGGACAGATTCTGCAGGGACCACCTTTGGAGAGACGGCAGTCTCAAGTCAAAGTCTGCAAACACTTCTAGCATTCTGAATGGTGCATCACTGGCTGGATTGAAGGCTCTATTTGTGGAGCAGGCTTCTAACGCAGGGAACTCGAAGACGGTGAATTTGTTCTCCAAGTAAACAGTAGATGCCCTGCTCTCTGGACCCGATTTTAGTGTGGAAGACCTTTTCCTGACAACTCGACCAAGGCCAAACGCTTATGTGATCATCTCGAGCATTTTTTAGCTCCGCTCCCCAGCTGGTCATTCCGTGCTTCCCAAAAGCAGATTTTATTTCCGAACCTACTAGTTTTTGTGTGCTCCTTTTTCGTATGAAGCCACTGATGCAACAACAGGACCGCACAACAGCAAAGGGGCCTTGAAGAATGATATCCCCATCTTGATCTTGCGTCGGTGTTGGCGCCTTGAGATACTGGAACATGCACGGAGGATGAAGTCGTGCGGGGTTTCCTTGTGTTTTTCCTGGGGTGGAGAGGTAGGACTATGCGCAAGCACCACCTGGGCATGCCATAGGGTGAAAGCCAACGATGATGGACAGAAAGTGCGTCTAAGTACTCAGTCATGACCACCAGCAGTCCCTAGCCGTCCAATTACCTGAATCTGCTGCAGCGTTCCATTCCGTCAGTTGGTACATCGGTGGAGATTATCATTTCAGCGAAAGGCCCTTATCGCTTCGTAATTGTCGGATGGGTGACCGCATATCCGCAGGCCGGAAATGTAGGTTCCCTGACAATGACTTTTGTATCATCTTTGTATAACAGAGGTTCCCATTCTACCAGAAGACTCCCTCCTATAGGTCTGGGGAGTTCTGCTTGATGCGGGACGAAATTTTGCGACTACGAGATCGGAACCATTGTCTCATTACGTTTAACGAGTAATCTAGGTCTTCTGGTCGTATGCGCGGATGCGCTGCTGGATAGAGCTGTGGACTTAACGTTTGGCGGTGGTAAGGATCTTTCCGTCCTTACGAGCGTTAGTACTTGCTGCTGAGACATTCCTAACCTGCCTTATTTTACTCCAGTAAATGTGATTAATGTCTGCATCCTGTGAGAGACAAATCTTTAATGAGTGCGTCAGATCTGTCTAATAGTTGTCACTTTAACTATAACCCAAGCCACCCTCACAGGCAGCATCCGATTTTATGTATTTCCTGATTGAACTGTTGGCCTGCGTTGAAATGCATCTGGCCCTTCAGATTTTCAACTTGGGTGCGAAAACTCTCGCGTTAGAAGGATTTCATTGAATTCTCACTCAGGCCAAAGCCACTCGGGCATGCGTCCGGAAAAGTAAGTGCGATCGGCTGCTCGCTTTCACTCTTTTTCTGTGTACTTCGGAAGATTCGCGTCTTAGGTAATAACAGACAGGTTAAAATGCCAACTTCGAGTGAATCCCAGTTTGTCGGTTCTTTTATTGGCCGAAAGCCCAGATTAGGTGAGTTCTGCGGAACCGGTTGTGGCTTCGTGGAAGAGGGCTCTTCTTACCAGAACCTCAGACAAGCTGGTAGTAAATTGGTTTGACCACTTCTTAGATGTTGGATTCTGGTCCATTTCAACTTGTTTGAATTTAACCTATCAGGATGGAGGTGTTCTACCGAAAACTCCTCAGTTTCGAATTTCAACTCTCGTTAGTGGTGCATCAGAACCGGTACTTATGAAATGACTGTAGCTTATTTGGTCTAATGAAACATCCCGTAAACGGATTTTGTTACACACAAGAAAAACTCACTGGTTGGACGTCGAGTCTAAACTTATTTTTGTCTGCAGGGCCTTTAGGGAAGATGCGGTGGGTCATCTCTTCAAAGTAAATTAGTATACGGTATGGATAGCAGGAGTAGGTGTACTTAAGTAGCTATCCAGCTAGTTCACTGCCCTATGTCTGGTTTTAGTGTGCCCCCTCGAACAGGCCACGCGGTAGATGAGGTGACCCAACACAGGACCTAGGTCGCACTCCGGTAGGCATTAAGGGGAACGCGCACCCATAAAAAATGCCAACACTTGGGGGTGTGGTGGTTGGCCCATATGCAACTCATGCCGCGCCCATTGAGATCCGTGTGGTCCCCCTTTTTCTTGCGCATAAAATCCTGGCCAGCCTATTTTGTGACCCAAGATGCACGGCGGCACGCTTAGGTGCAGGTTTTCGCCGCGCCAGCCATCTGCGTCCTCTCCCGCCTCCGGCGTCCTTGATTCTCTTTTAACATCAGATCCAGGTGGAGTAGGAGATGGGACTGTGGTAGATGCTGTGAAAGTCTACTACCACTGTAAAATAATTAACGCACAAGTCATCGTCCTTGCTCTCACCCTGCTGTGAGGCGTACGGTGGACACCGTCGGCAATGACGGTCAAACTGTCGTTTTGTTTTAGACCTCTGGCCCCGCTTAGGAGCAATTGACATGAGTGTAGACCACAGTTACTTTTACTAGGGTAAATAGGTCAGAAACAGCGACTCTTGTTCCGACATCTTTAATGATACGTGAACGTCACTCCGAGAATGTCCGCAGATCTTAAGTAAAATCGGAAGACAAGGTATGAGCAGTTGTTCTCTGTTCTGACAGAACCTCAACCAGAATTTATTAGGGGCAAATAACACCTTTTGCCAGTGGCCTACTCGGCGTTTTAACTAACCCTGGCCTGATGGGAATTCAGCATGAATAGACGTACGCTCGCTAAGCAGTTTTCCGAAAGCTAATAGGGCCTAGAATCTTTCCAGGCGTTTTGTGCGACACTATCCAGTCCACTCCAACTTGGAATAAATAGCGATGCTGAAGATGTTCTCACCCATAGAAATGGCTTTTATTCGAAACCTGGAACACAACTAAAGGCTTGGAATTTCGGGGAGTAAACGTGTATTTCTTAAAATACCTTCATGCAGTGATCGGGACACCAATGTCCATGAAACACCGAATTTTCTAACACCAGCCAAATACTTGTGAAGTTCCATTGGCAAAGATAAAGACACTGGGTTGGTTGCACCACCGGCCAGCGATATCCCAACCCCAAGCAGTCCGGCTTTACGTTTCACGACTGCAATCAACTGGTCGGTGCTTCGTCCTGAATGTGCTGACTTTTGCTAACTGCGTTCAAAGATCGTGTAGTATGCCATCTATGTTTAAATTTGTAAGGCAATTCTGGAAAGCAAGAAATCTTAAATCAGCAACGTGGTGGTGATTAAAAGTGTCCGTTTTTGCTCCATAATTCGTTGAGGGTAAGAATCGGAAAAAAAGTCGGGGCTGTGCGTTAAGCGCCCGCTGTTTGTTTATTATTGTTTCAGAAGCATGTGTCAGAGGTCACAGTACAGGGACAAATTTAGCTGCCGCTCGTATATAGACTTGTTACTCATAGCTACATAACTATGTTGTTGGTGAATGGTAGTTAGCAAAAATGATCCCGATGAATAAGATATTTCGACCTCCGTTGCCCCACGAAGTGGGCCTGGCGATGACTACGGTGTGAACTTGTTTAAATCGGAGCAGACTTCCGCTGCATCTACTTCTCCCCCTCCTAATACATCCGCCGCGTCCCAACAGCAAGACAAAATAAAAATGGCTGAACTTAGGCATGGGCGCAGCAGCCGACAAGACCCAGCCGCCCGTCTACGCGTACCTCGCACGTCCTGGTCCCCACACATGTACCGGGCTTCAATCGGGCAGGGGCTCTGGAGGCTAACGTGAATGGGGATGCCATTAAGGCCTCATTAGGGAGCTGCCACGTCAATTGGCAACCCTACAAGCCACGACTGATAGCGCATCATGGCAGGTTCAAGCGCGTCATATTTATTATTAACTAGGAATGTAATGAATGTAATGCAATGAATGTCATAACTGTGTTGTTTACTGTGGATTCCCATGTATACGCACATAACCGAATAGGTTCTTGCAGCTTCTGAATATGGAAAGGTAGTGTTGAGGTGGAAGGCATTCATGAGGGGTGTAGACAGGAATTCCAAACAGTAGCTCTTGAGTCACTGTACGATGGATTCGCAGCTAACCGACTAGGCCGATGCGTGATCGAAATGTGCGTTTGAAGTTCGGGCATGATGAAACTATCTGCATTGGTGGTGGTGGTGGTGGTGGTGGCGGCGGCGGCGGCGGCGGCGGCGGCGGCGGCGGCGGCGGCGGCGGCGACAGCAGCAGCAGCGGTTGGGCTTGGCGAGGTGGCGATTGTTCTTTGTTACCGGACAGCGTTCCCGTTGCATCTGTACCGATTATCTTCAGTCATGACGCGGTGAGACTGAGGCGCAGTGTTCTGCTATGGCAAGTGGAGGGAGCGACGTCTTTGATGCTTCTGACTATGGTAGCGTTTTGCGCCATGAAAACTAACTTGAGTGGATTGGCACAACGCTCGATCCGGAGATGTCCACAAAGTTCTGTCTGCGCTCTGAATTCCAACTGTAAAGGTTGGCAGCAGTTGGCTGTTTGAAGCAGTTATTCACGACATGGGATTCTTGCAGGCGTATCGTTTTGCCTTTAACTCGGCTATTTGGTTCCCCTAATACGATATCTGGAAATAAAGGTGGCTGACCCTATCGTCTTGATATGAAGTATTCAGAACGAATTCTGTATCTGGTGTCACTTAATTTATGGTCATTTATTAGTAAGTGCGTAACGTCAGTATGCATGGGGAGTAGCATGAGCCATATGCGGGCACCCTCTGCCAAATGTACCAGTGGTGGATACATTTACTTCGCCCCGTCCTGATACCTAACTCACATCTCTGGCTCCACGCAAGCGTGCTCATCACAGTGGCCGCGCCTCAGTAATCACTGACAGCCTAGACGAGATGAGGGTGTATGGCGTATGTGTGTCTTCAAACCCGCTGGTCTATGGCTTACTACCCTTGCCGTCCACTGTCACTAGATGAACTGTCCTGCATAGATGTTGACATGCAATCCTGTAGACGACACAGAGTGACTCTGATCGACTTTCCGCTTTGTCACATTCGTGATCAACGGTGAATTCCCACAGTTGCCTGGACTGACTGAGCAGTCCCTTGTAGGGAGGCACTGCCTACCGTCAAACTAACCGTGACTTCTGGACGCAAAACATAGGGTCGAAAAGCAACTACAACCGACAAATTACGTCCCCAACCCGTGTCTCCCCATTGTCTGGCGGAGTGACCCTGCTCACTATGGCTGTCTGGGATGGTTGTTCGCCTTTAGACAAACGAGCGACAGGTCGTCCGGAAAGAAGGATAGCTCTGGTCGTCCGGAGATCAGGCCGCCAAAAGATGGACATCGCGACTCCCAACGAGACCTACGTACTTCTCCAGGTAAAAACAAGTAGAGAAGGCAGGTACCAGATAGACCTTCGGGGGTGGCATTTCAAACACAGAGTGACAAGATTCTGGAGTAAATTTTGCAGTCAAGAATGGCGCGGTTATACTGGGCATCGACAGTCGTCTCATGAATGTGAGGCTGTGCCGAGGCGCCAGACTATCTTGCCTTTCCCTACCTGTTCCTCATTCTTTAACTTACTGATTGTTTAAATGGAAGGAACACGACACAACGCGACGCGCTCGGCATTTGTTGGATTGTCAGGTCGTTTGACATTTGATTATTAATTCTCCCATAACTCTGGTCTTATCCTGATATCCATAGTCTGGGATTGACAGTTGTCTCCTTAGCGCTCGCAATAGTGGTGACCTTTTGACGTTCGCGCTTATACCTTTAAGTTGTTGACTTTCTATTTTCATACAGTCCGTTTGCCTTGTTTCTTTCTACCATCATGACCTCTACGGATTCCAACGATGCCACTACTTCTCTCAATGGACTTTCTTCGTCTCTCCCAGACTTTTGGCAACATGCGCCAGAACTTTATTTTTTCCGTATCGAGGCGACATTTCACTCTGCCAAGATAACACGTGAAACAGACAAATATTATAAGTTGGTCGAGGCCCTTCCTCCTACCATTCTTTCCCTAATGCAGACGTTTTTGCGAGATCGCCTGACTGATGCTCCCTACACCACGTTAATGCCTGAACTCCTACGCCGGACATCAGTCTCAGATCGGCGACGTTATCACGCACTGGTAAAAGAGGGGGCCGTAGGTGATCGCAAGCCGTCAGACCTCCTGCGTCGTATGCGTTCTCTCCTTAGGAACATTTTCATCGACGGCAAGTTCTTTGAAGAGATGTTCGTAGCACGTCTGCCGACGTCGGTACAAACAATCTTGGCCTCTGGCTCAGATGACCCAGACATATCAAAGTTAGCGGAGATCGCTGACCGTATGATGGAGTTTGAGGGTTTGTCATCCACGATGATTGCTCAGGTTTCCCTGCCTCTCATCGTGTCCACCTCTGACCTCGCTGAACTAAAGACATAGATTGCCCAGTTGTCGGCGACTGTTGCCGCTTTGCAGCTGCGCCGATCCGCCGGTCCCTCTCGACGTTCCTTTGGCCGTGACCGTCGTCGTTCCCGCTCTCGCCCTAGGACCGCAAACCTATGTTGGTATCATGTCAACTATGGCAATAAGGCGTGGCGCTGTGTCCCGCCCTGCTCCTTCAAGTCCACGCAGGGAAACTCCTCGGCCGGAGAGGAAATGCGGCCGAGCTCTCTGGCAACACTACGGGTCGCACCTTTTACATCAGTGATAACACGAGTGGCAGGCATTTTTAGTCGACACTGGCGCTCAGATTAGTGTTATCCCTCCTACGTCGGCCGACCGACGTTGCCATGGTCTTTTCCTTCGAGCCATCAACTCATCCCCCATTACAAACTTTGGATTTCGATCCCTCTCCCTGGATATTGGTCTCAGGCGATTATTCCCCTGGATATTTGTGGTGGCTGATGTTCCCACCGCCATCCTTGGTGCTGATTTTTTGGCCGCCTTTGACCTTCTGATGGATTGCAGGCAACTTCGCCTCCATGATCGCTCAACTACTCTCCCTGTCAAAGGATTTCCTCCATCCTCAGCTTTTAACCATCTATCCGTCCTTGACCCAAACCCTGACTGTCCATTTCGTAGACTTTTAGCAAAATATTCTACTCTCACTAAGCCCCATTTTTCTGACACCTCACTGCCCCAGGATATCGTTCACCACATAAAAACGACTGGTCCTCCCGTTTTCTCTCGTCTCCGCCGTCTTGCTCCTGCGCGTCTTGCGGCTGCTACGGCTGAATTTGATCACATGCTGCGACTAAGGATTGTTCGACAGTCGGACAGTCCCTGGGCATCTCCTTTGCACATCGTTCCTAAACCAAATACGGATGGTTGGCGTCCTTGAGGCGATTATAGAGCCCTAAACAATATCACTATGCCCGATCGGTATCCGGTTCCTCACCTTCAGGACTTTGCCGGAGCTCTATGTGGCAAAACCGTTTTCTTGAAGATCGATTTGGTCAGGGCTTTTCATCAAATTCGGATTGCGGCTGAGGACATTCCCACAACGGCAGTGACGACTCCTTTTGGCTTGTTTGAGTTCCTTCGTATGCCATTTGATCTCCGAAATGCCTCACAGACTTTCCAACGTTTCACTGACCGTGTTTTACGTGGCCTTCCATTTGTTTATGCGTATATTGACGATGTTCTCGTCGGCAGTCGAGATGTCGAGTAACATCTTCAACACCTCACCCTGCTTTTCGACCGATTTCAGCAGTTTGGTGTCACCCTGCATCCTGTCAAATGCGTCCTTGGAGCCACTTCTCTTGAGTACTTAGGTCACTTGATAGACTCAAACGGCATTCGGCCTCTTCCTCCAAAGGTTGCCGCCATTCGGACTTTCCACCCCCTACCTCGAAGCGTCAGTTGCAAAGGTTCCTTGGTATGGTGAACTTTTATCGCCGGCTTCTCACGAACTGTGCCGATACCATCCTACCTCTGACCAGTCTCCTCTCAGGTTCTAAGCGAACCTTTGAACTTACATACACCAGCAGCACTCATGTCATTTGAGCAGGTAAAAGCCCTTCTGTCTGATGCCACCCTCCTTACTCACTTTCATGCAGATGCACCCATATCTCTGATGGTCGATGCCTCCAATGTTTCTGTTGGTGCGGTTCTTCAACAAAGTCTGCCAGACTCTACCGTGCCTTTGGCTTTCTTCTCCAAGAAATTATCCAAGGCCGAAACCCGCTACAGCACATTCGGACGTGAACTTCTCGTCGCTTATCTTGCCGTAAGGCACTTCCGGCATTTACTCGAAGGTCGAGAGTTCACTATTCTCACAGATCATAAGCCACTAACATTTGCTATGCATTCCCACTCTGACAAGCTAAGCCCGGGGAGATCCGTCACCTGGACTACATTTTCTAGTTCACTTCAGACATCCGCCATATTGACGGGTCAAGGAATGAGGTGTCCGACGCACTGTTCAGGCCCTCTATCGCTCACCTTCAGCTTTCCCCGGGATTGACCTCACTGAGATGGCCGCTGAACAACGCCGTGTCGGTTCACGCTGTGATTGGGATGTTTCCGGACGCCAACTTCAGGAACTACCACTGGCAACGGCACCATTTTATGCGACGTATCCACCCCTTCTAATCTTCCATTTGTGCCACCATCCCGCCGCCGCAAAGTTTTCTCCTCCCTGCACAGTCTCTCTCACCCTGGGAGTCGAGCAACCGACAAGCTGGTTTCCGACCGCTTCGTCTGGCCTGGGATGCACAAGGACCTCAAGGCATGGACACGGGCTTGTATCGATTGTCAATGGAGTAAGATCCAGCGGCACAACAAGGCCCCCATTGACACATTCCCCGGCCCTAGTGCAAGGTTCAGCCACGCTCACCTGGACATTGTAGGCCTCCTGCCGCTGTCCAATGGTTGTTCCTATCTCCTCACCTGTGTAGCTCGGTTCATTCGTTGGCCTGAAGCAATTCCCCTGGCTAACATTGCTGCTCCACTGGTGGTCAAGGCTTTTCTCAGTCGTTGGGTTGTTATCTTTGGTGCAACCTCCGCAATCACGACTGACCGTGATGCCCAGTTTGAGTCTAACCTCTTCCAGTCTTTCCTTTCCTTTTTAGGCTGTATTCGCATCCGCACTACAGCCTATCATCCGGCAGCCAAGGGGATGGTCGAGCGGTTTCACCGTCAGCTGAAGACCTCCCTACGCATCGCGGCCGATCGGAGAACTGGACGGACCACCTTCCCCTGGTCCTCTTGGGCATCCGCTCCGCTCTCAAGCCGGACCTTGACTGTTTCGCAGTTGAGCTGGTGTTCGGCGCCACCGTCCGACTCCCCGGTGAGATGATCTCGCTAACCCCGCAAGGTGCAGTTGAGGATCCTACCAACCTCCTGCATCGCCTCCGGCAGGTTATGCGGATACTTTCTCCGGTTCCTCCAAGGTCCTCCGCCTCTCTGTCTTATCTCGAGAAGGACTTGGAAACGTGCTCTCACGTCTACCTTCGATGTGATGGAGTCCGCGGCCTCTAAAACCGCCCTATGAAGGCCCATTCCGGGTACTCTCTCGCGGGACGAAGACTTTCCGCATTCAACACGATAATCATGAAGAGGTCGTGAGTGTGGACCGCCCCAAGGCTGCCGTCCCTGACACTCCTCCGGATGAGCCCTGTGGTCCTCTACCTTCTGCACCCTCACCCCCTGCAGCCTCTATTCCACCGTCCCACATTTTCCCTCTGCCCTCCTGTCCGCTACCTCCGACTGCCACCACTAACTCCAACAATTCCGTCACCAGATGTATTTACTCTTCTATGGACCCTGAATACATCACTCGCAGTGGTCGTCACGTACAGTGAGTGACCGATCCCATGAAATGTTGATTGAAATTCTGAAATGCGTTTTCGATTAGGAAGGATTACTTGGTCGCGGTTGTAATACTGATTATTATGCGGCATAATCTTATAACACTTTGGACTCGGCAGGATGTCCGCTTTTGAATACACTGTTTTTCAACCTCCTGTAGAAACCGTACCCGGTGAAAATGACTACTTAAGTAGCATGCATTTTTCCCATTTATTTTCGATGGTCTTGCAAATTCAAATATATCTTATAGAAACCATAAGCAAAAATATGCTTTCTTTCGGTCACTTAATAGATAATCACGTCTTCTTTATATTTTATGCTTAAGGAAGGAGTATGATTAGGTTTTAAAAAAGTTTTCTGATTGCCGAATAATTTGGAGCCTGATCATTCGTTGCATTAGCGCTAAGTGATTTCAGTCTACAAGGTGCATGCGTCCCGTATAAAGGAAATCACATATTTTTCTATGTCATTAAAAAGATATCACACAGAGTCCATAGAATTTAGCAATGGATGCGGACTGTGTTGTACATTTCATGAGAAGCTGTGGTAAACGGCGAGGTACGATGCTATGTGAATGGACAGTGCGAGGTCCTAAAAAATCGCATAATTAAAAACGTTTTTAAAACCTTATTATACTCCGTCCTTAAGTATAAAATATAAAGAAGACGTGATTCTCTATTAATTGACTGAAAGAAAGCATATTTTTGCTTATGGTTTCTATAAAATATATTTGAATTTGCGAGACCATCGAAAATCGATGGGAAAGATGCATGCTACTTAAGTAGTCATTTTTTACCGATTACGGTTTCCACAGAAGACTGAAAAGCTGTGCATTCAAGAGCTGACACCCTGCCGAGTCCAAAATTATATAAGATTATGCCGCAAGACAATCAGTATTGCAACCGCGACCAAGTAATCCTTTCTAATCGAAAACGCATTTCAGAATTTCAATCAACATTTCATGAGATCGGCCACTCACTGTACGCTTTCCTGATCGGTTGATCACTCGTTTATTTTAGACCTGTGCACATCCTTCGGCGTCGTTTTTCCGGTCCCGGTCTCGGAGGGGGGTGCTGTGCCGAGGCGCCAGACTATCTTGCCTTTCCCTACCTGTTCATCATTCTTGAACTCACTGCTGGTTTAACTGAATGGAAAAGACAAAACTCAACTCGATGCGCTCGGCATCTGTTGGATTGTTAGGTCGTTTGGCATTTGATTATTAATTCTCCCATAACTCTGGTCTTATCCTGATTTACATAGTCTGGGCTTGACAGTTGTCTCCTTAGCGCTCGCAACAAGGCTGCCCGCCGCATTTCCAATGCCAGATAAGCCTTCTTCCGTCTCTAGAACACCCAATGGAACTGTCACGGTTTTCATTTCAACACGAATCTGAAGATGTATAAGACAGTCATCCTGTTGACGCTGTTGTGCGGAATAGAGACCTGGACGGTCTTCAAGAAGCAGGCGTTGGGAATCATTCAATTCCACCTCAGCTGTCTTCGACGGATACTGAGGCTGAGGTGGCAGGACCGTATTCCCGACACGGATGTACTAGAGACATCTGCAACTGCGTTGGAGCGGCCACCTCGTGTGGGTGTACAACGAGCGGTTATCGTCGTCACGGGTTCCGGCCGCCAATGAGGCCAAGTCCGTCGATATAAGGACACTCTGAAGACATCCCTGAAGCGTCTATAGATCAACCCGGCTAATTAGAAAGACCTCCCTTAAAACCAACCGTCCTGGAGTAGGACAATGAAGACAGGCGGAGCGATCTACGAGGCAAACCGCATCGCCACCGAGGAAGCCAAACGAGAAGCACGCAAATCTCAGCTGGGCCCACCTAGCTATGCAAACGCCCAACCGCCCCTAACGTGTCCACGATATCAACGGACATTCCGGGCGCCAAATGGACATGTTGGGCATCTCCGGACCAACGGCAACAATTGAAGTACACCAACCGTCGTCTCTCCGCCCACATCTCCATCGCCTCCCACGCCGTCACCTAACACTGACAGCCCTCCCGAACCACCACTTCCATCCTCCT